TCAGTTTTCGGACTACGTCCGAACGGGGACTAAAAACTAATCAAAGTATGAATGTCAACAACTTCTTTATCTAACTTTACGAATTACACAACTGTTTACTTTCAATTGCAGTTCGTAATTTTCACTATTCAACAATGAATGGTTGGAAATATTTTCTGAATTTGGAATGATTATTATACATGTATTAAAAAGCATTTGTAGTACAAAATAATTTTCACTGAAAATAATGGATAAGTAAGCAAATTAGCTAATTAATATGCACAAATTAAATCAAAACTATTATCAGACAAGGTTTTAGCATGTCATCTGCACATATAAGTTTAAGAAACCATTGATTCATGAATGTACTAAGTTTTGATTCATTTGAGCAGAATGTTACAAAACCTAAATTGATTATCGATAATAATTATGCAGATTACATAATTAATATGCACAATGAATTGAGAACTAGAGTTTAATTGTGTATAGAGGTAATTGAGATATCAGCAAAAACAAGAACCAGTCGAGTGAGACGGAGAATACCCAAGATTTGTACGGGTAACTTCCTTGGGAAACCCCTTATCAATTTTGCAATAACCCATCAACTACCCCCCCCCCCCCAAGGTGGTTGAAGGAACTGCAAACTTAGCCATAATACGTACTTATACAAAAATTAATTTGCTAATTCCTCCTATAAATCTAGTTTGTGCCCACTGTAAAACCATTGAAACATACAATTGTTCAATAAACTTACTTCTTTTTTTTAACTGAGCTATCCATACTGGACTGCTGGACTGATTGTAAATCATCATGCGTCTTTTGTACTTCATAGAATGCTGGGATTTCTGGTGATGAGTTGAAATTTGGTGGCTGTAAGATTCCTGTTGAAAGAGATCCTGAAAATGTTTGGCTGTAGGTGGATGCTGGACTCAATACGACAGGAACCTCCTCTGAGCGTATTGGTGATACTTGATTTCTGTCTGACTCTATCTGGTTGCTGAATGGTTCGGTGTCAATCTGGCTTACACCTGTATTTTCTATTTCCCAAGAGCTAGCTGGACTATTCACTAAATTTGTTGGCATCTTGTATCCATCAGTAAAATTAATAACAGTTGGTTTAACTCCATTTGGAACTGCTGTTGCTGGGATACCAAATGAAACATCATTGAGAGGATTGCTATCACACAAAGCAGTGGCAGAATCATATTGTTTATTCTTTGTGTATAAAGATGTGATAAATTCCAAAAGAATTTCTTGTGCCTCTATACCATTTGATTTTCCAGGCGATATAGTCAAACCTGTTGGAGACTTGTGTCCAGTAGTTGATTTAGGTATTGGAATGTGATTTTCACTGTATGTCGCCATGGTGATATTCTCTTGAGCAAGTACATCCATTGCAATGGTGACTTCTTCTTGAATGTAAGGAACATCCATTGCAGAAGAAGTACTGTTGACAGGTGATAACCCACAATTAAGATCTTGAGAGTTGACAATTGTTGGTAGATAATGCATCTCCACTGTGGATAATTCAGACATGTTAGACCCAGTTGTACAGCTCAATCTTGCTTCACGGATAGGTTTCTTATCAGACACGTCTGGTGACGAACTAGAAATGTTTGCACCAATAGACTTGCCACCTGACAATGGTGTCATATTGTGTGACCACTGGTTTTGAATCCCATCACTAATTCCAGTGTGTTGTTGACATACAGGTATATTTGTCTTATGAACTGTTTCTTCGTGCGTTTTCCTGGAAGTAAATAAATAATTTGTATTTACTATACAAACTACACTTCACTCAAATACACTTGAGCATACAGAGACAGGCAAATCCGTAGCAAACAAAAAATTGAAGATAATCATGTTCTTTGTGATATACAGATTCTGTCACACATTAAGTCCTCAGCACACTTTTTCTATAAATTGCGCCCTCTAGTGATGAAGAATTTCTATGATGTAAAATGAGTTATATGAAAACTGGTCAAAGTGACGATATTGTTTTGGTCTATTGATGAAGATTATGTTTTGAGAAGATTTTACTATATTTTAGATTACAAACAACTACACAACCTGACATTCCCCTTACCCATACCCGTCATTTTGACAACACAGAAGAGTGTGCGACCACTAGAGAGCATGATTTATAGGAATGGTGTAATTTTTGTATCAGACTTTTCCTTGTAGTGTATGTAACTCAGTTTTGAAATGCTGCTGTATACAATGTACAATGTGTTTATAATAAACACATTAAAGCACAACCGTGTTGTCCAACACGTGTTCAGTATGGGTACTATACTATGGGTACTAAGACCTACATGTGACTGAATCTCCTGAACTTTTTGCCACAGCAAGAACACTGGAAACGCTTAAAACCTGCAATAATTGGTGACTGGATATCGGTGTCAGAATATTCACAGATCTCATCACTGACAAACTGAGGTATTTTCTTTTTGGACATGCTCTGTGTCAGATCATCGATTCCAATAATGATTTTGTTTCCATATGCAGCAGAACTGGGCATCTAACCATCCATGAGTGGACCTGCAGTTACAATAGAATACATATAGTGATAACATAATACAGAATCATTGTCACACGTACATGTCAACTGATTTACTGATGTGTCAGTCATACAGCTTCACTAGGTATTGTGACAACTATGGGAAATATTTGATGATCAGAGTGCATGTGCATGTGTATCTTTATGGACACAAAGCATGAAGAATCAGGTCTATGGTTTGTGTAAACAATCTCCTACAGATTTAAGTTTTACTTAGAGATGAGATGAGACGAGACAAAACTTAAAGGTTTTTTCGGACTATCATGCGACATATTTAATATAATAAACTTGCAAGACTTGCAGGAGGTGTTACTTTTCAAAATTCAGAATTTCAGCACCAAAAGTGAGTGAATGTGATCATGTCTTAATTCTCATTTGATTTGTTAATTTCCATTTGTTCAGACATACTGGGGTTCACTATTAACATAATTTTGTCATTGTTCATGCACCTACTTTGGAATGTAGAAGATGACCTATAATGTACTCATTTGCTGAACTATGCAAAAATGAAGTGAAATTGTTACCAGACTAAATTTAACTAATTCTCCTGCCATCTTAGACTAGTATAGATAAGCAAAAAGAAAAAAAGAAACACACCAGTGAGGTAGGTGGTGTTGAAAGCATCCTTGTTACCGGTAATAAATCTGGATTCATAACCAGTAGAGTTACCCATGTTGCCCATAATACTGGTAGATGCAGAGGAAGATGCTGAAGAGAGTGCAGAGATGGTATTGCTGGTGACATCGTTAACCATGATGGAGTAATCAGCACAGTCAACACTCATCTATGAGAAACACAGACACATGTCAGCCCTTGGAGCTGACCATTCTATAAAGACTGACTAGTATAACAAATATATTGGCTTTATATCACCCAAGAATGTTAGCTGATGTCTGAAACTACCAGAAATTTTCTAATTAATATACTGGTATTCCTAATAAATAATTCAAGAACTATTGTATAAAACCACCAATTCATTGAGATAGTGGCTCATTTTGTGGTAGACAGCCATGGGGTCAAAAGTTCAATCTGCTTCCATGGATCAATCAGAATATCAGGATTTTTATTACATATGGAGATAAAGAAAATAATTACATATGTACTGCAGTAATCATAGTTACAAGCTTGCTAAATAAGTTTGGTATTGAGTTTTGGACTATGTATCTCCATTAATCTGTTGGTACATGTTCTTTACACAAAATGTACACGCAGACGAATATTTCAGAAAATGTCAGTTGAACCAACAACAGATATTGCAGAAATTTGTGTATAAAGGTGCCAGTCAGCTGACTGTCATATACATTATAATTTTTAAATGACCCATATTCGGTCACCATGGCCACCAAAACACAGAAGTAACAATTAACTAACATGACGTAAGTTGTGCATGGACCTAAGCTCTATCGAAAAGATCGTGTTTGGTGAAATCGCAATAAGAATAGAAATAAACACACAGCGAAATAATTTGAAAATGTCAAAACTGGAAAGTGGTACATGATTTATCCAACTTCCGTTGCTCGGCCTCGTTTTCAAAATATGTTAGAAAATCCAGAAAAACTAAGTTTTACGTAAAAAATAACAATGTGCTATTGCCACAAACACAATCGCCGGTTTTGTTTGCACTGGCGAAGGGGAAGTGATGGGAGGCAGAACGCGAGAGGTTGCCGTGACCGTTGCTAACGTTGGGTCACGACACGGACGCGCGCTGCCGTTGTAAAAAACTTGTAAAAATCTAGTTCCTAAAGACACAATTCGGCACAGAATATGGCTACCAACATCTCTAAGGCCGTCAAGTTAAGAGTATAGACTCACCATTTCCGTGAAGTATGATCTACAATGTAATTCAAACTCCACGAAAGCAGCTCTTTTCAGCAGGTCCAAAGGTCAGCCAGCGCAGACAGATAGAAAACGCCGTTGAAAAGCTCATCCGACGCATCACACATCGACTACGGGCGGAAGAACAAAGTAGTTCCATGGAGTGATTGACATTTTATGATAACTGACTAAAATTAGTATTTAAAAACAAAATATCTTTGTCTACGGTATGGTTTGTTTGTTTTCCCGGAATGTGTTACTATAAAAATCAATGCAACATAATTTACAGTTTATTTCCTTACGTTCAGAGAAAAAGTGGTCCGCGTCAACACCGGGCGTCAACAGAACACGTTCACGGCTGACGCATACGCGCACCAACTGTGACCTGGTTCTTTATTTTGTTCTTTTTTCTTGTAAATAAAAAAACAGTTTACCAAGTGTATATTTATAGTCACAGAAGCATTTACAGAAAAAAGTGTAATTTTGTGTGAACGGATCACTTATCACGTATCCCGTTCCACCAGAAAACAGTCAGACTGAGTCAGACAGTAGACGTTTACATTTCTAGCGCTGTGAAAAACATCCTTACTTTTTACACTGTGTTTTTTACTAGTACACTTTAGTTAGATTTTATGACAAAAAGTTATTCAACCTAATAAAATAATACTAATTCTAAATTTCACTATATAAATAATTGGACAGATCATATTGTCTTTTTGAATCGCAATTACCAAGTTGAGAAATAAATAAATTAATTCATTATAAACTATAACAACTAATATAAATATATAATACAATTATCGTGTATATACATTACACCATCAGCACTGTCCAAAAGATATATAAATTAATTTAAATGTAAACTGTATATGTCTTTTACCTAACATGGAGTCTAACACAATGTAGAATTGAAAACCGTTGTTCACAAAAGCCAGAGAAAAAAAAATAGGGTACACTAATATAAATGTGAATTTGTCATGTTTGTGTTTACAACTTTATCTGTCAATGTTTACTGTACATGGAACTAAACTAACAGCATATAGAAACATTATTCATTTGTATTTCGACATTTAAAATGTAAATAGTAAAATTTAATATGTATTTAATATATTCATTTATTATCGCATTTTTTTGCGTTATTAGTTAATTTGTTAGTGCTAGTAGTTCATCAATTCATGATGTTATCTTTAACAACAGTGTATCTGATCAAAGTATACAGTGATGTCTTCCCGGGATGCCCTCTGATATCTAAATAACGTATGATGACAAAGGAAGTTTATTATTGTATTGGTTAGAACACAGTCCCCGGGATAAAGGGACTGTGGCTAGAATTAGTGCCCGGGGCTAGAGTCGACTCTGACATGGTCCTCGTACAGCATGAATACTTCGTTCTTGTCGAGAATCAGACACAAACCTACGCTTGACACAACGCTGA